ATTCACTTAGTATACTGCACAGATAACCTTGGCACTCCTTTTGGATCAATTTATAGGCTTTCATGGATGAGATTAAGTAAGGTAAGGGTACTACTCCTTTACTTTGGAAAATGACCTCGGCTTGGTTTGGGGGTTTCAGTGTGACACTCTTTGAAACACAGTTAATAGATGCATGATTCGTTACTAACCAGTCCATTCCCAATATGACATCAAAGTGGGTCATGCTTAACGGCATTAGATCAACTAATAATTCTACATCCTCAATCACAACAACACACGCCCTATAAATGGATGCAACAATCATAGTTCTCCCAGTTGGAGTAGACACATATAACACATAATCGAGGGGTTCTTATTCTCTATTTAACTTTTTGGCAAATTTAACAGATACGAATGAATGTGTAGAGCCCGAATCAATCAATATGTATGCATCTTGAGAGTAGATTGGGAGTATACCTGACACGACTGTTTCAGCATTCTGAGTGTCTCCTGGTACCAATGCAAAAACTTTGCCCTGTCTCATCTGGGCCCCTCCGATGTTATTTCTCTGTGCAGAGCCCGAGCTACTCCCATTCTTCCTACCATCATCAGTTCTTGCCTTCGGACAGTCTTTTACGTGATGACCCATCTCGTCACATTCAAAACAGGCTCCTGATGCCCAACGGCAAACTCCAGAATGCGGTTTCCCACAACTTCCACACGTCGGCTTAGCATTACCTTCTTGGTTCGAGTTGCTGGAGCTGCCCACATTCGCTTTCTTCTTGGCGTTAAACGGAACCCGGCGACAATCATAGTTCTGTCTCTTCCTCTGGCTTTCTCCTGAATTCTGGTATTGGTTCAAATTAGCTTCTGCAAGGATGGCCTTATCCAATACTCCGGCGTAGGTCGGCATGTTGAGCATGTTAACTCGGTCTTGTATCGGCCCACGAAGCCCGCTTTCGAACTTCCTGGCTTTTCTATATTCATAATCGACCATGTGAGGCGCATATCTCGCCAACTCGGTAAAAGCACGGTCGTATTCTGCCACCGTCTTGTTGCCTTGTGTCAGAGTCTGGAACTCTGTGGTCTTGCGATCTCGGACACTAAGGGGAAAATGCTTGTTGTAGAACAATTCCAAAAATCTAGCCTAGGTCAAACCTGGGTTACCTTCCCTAGTCATCATCCACCATCTTCATGCGTCGTCGTCCAACGTGAATGTTGCTAATGACACCTTCTGGGCGTCGGTGCTGGGAAAAATCTCAAATAACTTCTCCATTTCCAAAACCCATGCTTCAGCTTTCATCGGTTCAACACCCCTAGAGAATCTCGGCGGTTTCATTTTCTTAAACTCTCGGATCAGGGCTATGGTGCCGTCCCCATATAAAGCTTGCTGTGGAGGCACTTGCGGCGCTGGAGGAGGTGGAGGTGGAACAGCATGTCGACCGTTTGTCTGCTCGGCTTGGGTAGAAGTAGTACTAGTGTCTTGTGGCCTAGGTTGTCTTAACTCACGGACCAAACCTTCGACCAGTCTCTCTAACCTGTCCAATCTGTCTTCGGGATGGTCTCGGCCAACTGGTGGTCTACCCCTCCTCATGATGCTATGAGTATGCAAAATGCGACTTTAAAACAAAAACGATCAAACAATATGCATGCAAATAACAAGTAGTCACGTCGAGATGATGCACACATTGCCAAGTAACAAGCATTATGATGCAATTCTAATATCTTTCTAAGGGAAATCCTATGTTCTTTAGGACTCAAGGTGTGTGAATAACGTACTATAAGAAACTTGTGCTCTGACACCAATCTGTCACGACCCTATTCCGCCCCTAGTAGAATGGTGCATGATAGCCAGTAATTCATAATTACCCAAGGCCAACTTGCAAGGTTTCACACACAACAGAGTATACATGTGGGGCTTACAAGTGCGGAAGCGATAAATTTAAAACTAAGTAGTCCATAAGAGCTGTGCATAAGTCAAATGGAATGGCATATATCATTACATAGCTTTACAATCCTGAATACAAACAAAAGGAAGTACAAAAATACATCTTGACCAAAAGGCTTCTCAAGCCGTCAAATACAAAATACAAGGGAATACAACCAAGAAGCATGATCTTCAAGATGCTGAAAAAATGCTAAATCCAAAACAAATTGCAAGCACGTCTAGGCGTCACCGCCGTCTTGTTCGTCACCTACATATATATAGAGGGTGAGCTTGGATACTCAGTGAATGGTACAAGTAATAGAGGGTTTGCATGAATAATATCCGAGATCTTTATCAAAGCTAAACACATTATATCTTGCACAAAATCAAGGACAAAACAAGTTCATCTAACAAGTCCTTCAAGCTTCATTAATCAAAGTCTTTCAAGGCTTTCAAATTCAATGGGTGACATTAACAAAGGTTGTGCTACAAATTCTTATAGTCCCCTAGCACGTACGGACTTTCAAAGATTGTGCTACAAATGCTTATAGTCTCCTAGCACGTACGGACTTTCAAAGGTTGTGCTACAAATGCTTATAGTCTCCTAGCACGTACGGACTTTCAAAAGTTGTGCTACAAATGCTTATAGTCTCCTAGCACGTACGGACTTTCAAAGGTTGTGCTACAAATGCTTATAATCCCTTAGCACGTACGGACTTTCAAAAGTTGTTATCCAAAACAAGACTAACACTTGATACACAAAATAGGGATAATCATTCATGCTTAACAAATACTTTTCAAAACAAGGCAAAGTTTTATCACAACTTTATAACATAACTTTATTAAAAATACCACTCACATAGTTCTTTAAACGTCGGGGTCAAGCGAGAGTCCAAGTCCTACAAACACATGGCAAAGTCTATTGAATGCATTTTCAAACAAACTTTACATGGATGCAAATGATCTCGGCATTTCTTCAAAATTAAGTCAAGCCGAAACAAAACACTGTTTCTCATCTCGGGAAAACTTGCTGGGCACCAACCAGGTCTTGGCCGAGGTCCCACACCTCCTTGCCGAGGTGTGGTCCCGATGGCCACATTCAAGGAAATGAAGTCGGGAAAATCTGGGTTTCCCTTTCTTGAAGAACATAAACATGAAGGACATGGATGCAAAGATCGTAACTTATCATTACAAAATCTGAGTTTTCATGCTATGAATTTAAAAACATGGACCTGGATACTCATACTCGAAGATTTTAAGAAAACAAACACAAAACATAAATCTTGATGCAAACTTTCGGATCAAGCAATACTTTTTCTTCAAGAACACATGAATACCATTTTCTCTTTCTAAAACCAAACTTTAAATCGATGCATGGCTTGCAAATCAGGTTCGATCACGCAATGCAGCTAGATGATCAATAAGAACAACAAGAGTAGATTAAGATTCTAACCTCAATACACGAATCTAACGGCTCGAGGTGTGAAGATCGAGCTTGGAAAATCTATCCCTCCTCTAAGAACTCCTTCTCCCTCTTCTAGAGCTTCTCTCTCCTCAAGAACAAAGGCATAAAGCAAATGATACATTTCTAGGTTTGCTGGCTGACTTAACACTCGGCTGGGACACGTGGCAACGGCTGGTTGGCTCTACTGAAAAAGGTGACTGAGTGAAAAGACAAGACCATGATAAGGTGCGTTCTACAAGCAAGATGACATAGGCACTCCGGCAGGTAATGATCTCGGCTAAGAACAAGGCATCGGCAAGTAGGGGAACAATGATCTTGGCTAGGAAGGACAACACTTGGCCTAGTTGTGCCACACCTCGGTCTAGGTCATACCAGTCCAGGACAAGATCATTTAGGTGCAAAGGTAACATCTCGGCCTTGGTGGTGAACACCTCGGCCTAGATAATGACATCTCGGCCAATATGTCAGGGCGAAGGTGGAGGTCAAACAAAGTGGTTTCAAGATAATTCTAAACTGAAGATGACCTCGGCTAAACTCACACCAAGCAAGGTACAAAACATGCAAGAAACACTTAAGCAAAACAAATCAAGGTTTGCAAAATGTAACATATCAAGACAAGATCATGTAATATATGCAAGCATGACTGGAGTAGAGTGAGGGTTGTTACACTTATCAGGTCCTGTAGTAGTCTTACAAATTTTTTCCCTTCAACTCAATAGGAATCTTACAATCACAAGTAAGCACTTTTTGATGCACTCCTTCATTTCATCCATCCCGAATAATTATTAGGAGGATTGCGCTAGAACAACAACTATTGTTGGTTTTGAGATTTTGTAAGGTTGTATTTGGTTGGAGGATTTGATAAGAGAAATAGAAAAATGAAAAAAAAATGCAATCCCACTTTTAGTTTGGTTATAATGGAAAACATAGGGGAAAAGAAAGTGCGAGGGAAATGTAATCTCACTTTTTGTCTTTTGGGTTCACTTACCTATGTTTGGTTGGGGAATTTGGGAAGAGATTTGGAAAGGAAAAGGAAAAACGTAGGTAAAACTAGGTGAAATGTTGGTATATTTTATTCACATTTCATCTACCTTTTTCGTTTCCTTTTTCAAATCTCTTCCTAAATCTCTCAACCAAACTTAGCGTTAGGCTATTTTCTTTCTCTATTTCCCAACTCAACTAAACATAACTTGGAATTCAAATCCTATCATTTCTTTCTCCTTTCTTTCTATTTTCCTTTTCCTTTCCCTTTCCATTTCCCTCACCAAATTCTTCAACAAAACACAGCCTAAGGGAAAGGGGGAAAAAAAGGACAACCCAATGCACAAGGCTCTGGTTAAATGGAAATGTAGATAGAACTCATTGAAACCAAAACTTGATTCTAGGAGTTCCCAAGTGGGTTCCTTGAAACGAAGTGTTTTTGAAGATATATTTTCTTTAGGTTTTTCCTTTTTGTTAACTGCATCACACTGTCCATGTGTTGAATGTCGTGGATTCTTTAAGCTCATAGACATGTTAAACCACTGAATGCTGTTGTTTTTCTTACAAGAATGCCTTGTTTTATATTTCAACTTTCTTCTGTTTTCTCTTTTCTTTATTTAGTATTTTCATTGTGAATTTTTATTTCAGGCACTTGCTAAGGAGATTGTGATGTCTAGGCAAACTGTCAACCGGCTTTACGAAAACAAGGCACAACTAAATTCAATATCAATGCACCTTGGGGAGAGTGTTGGTACAATTCTTCACATATCTAAGCTTATGGTTTACTTTCATGTGTATTTTATCACTATTATAAGTTTTTTGTTTTTGTATTAAAAAAGCAGGAATTTATGTTTGAGGTAAATTTGGAGATGGAAGTAGTCTTTCATTTCTTTACAGTGGAGCAAGACCACTGCCTTTTAAACATGATTAATTAATAAAATTGTGCTGCTCATCAATGAGGGAAAAATCCAACTATACATACATTAAGCAATAAGGTTGGAACAGAAATAAATATTATTAGGTTTCTTAGAAAGTAATCTTTGCCCAATTGTTACATGCCTACATTCTCGTGAAAAAATTGACATTTTCATAAAATATTTCCGGATATGTTTTTATTTTATTTGTTTTTAATGTAAAGAAACATTTTATCACCTATTTCTATATCACCCAAGTCATTATGTTCTGAAGAAAATATGATATTGACTATACCTGCTCCCTTTTAAACATTTGTTAGTTGGGTTTCTCCAGTTATGAATTGCGGGCTAACCAATAGTGCCTAAATAGTAAGTGAAGACATTCATCAAACATTAAGTGAGCATCTTGTAGCAGCAAAAGATATCTATGAATTTGATTCTCGTCATATTTAGGTATCTATAATTATCTATCATTTTCAACTAGCTCAGGTGTCCTCTGGAAGTCCTATACATATATTGGTATACTTATTGACTTTTCTATAACGTCAGTAACCTAAGGCCCTAAGCTATCTATTGTTTTAGGTTATAAAATGTCCTTGTGCAAAAAAATGCTTTTATGATATATCTATGCCTTGTCTCTTTCTCAGCAAAGGTCAATACCCAATAAAGCAATATCTTGACAATAATATCTGGCTGGGTATAATTTCATGACATTGTAAGGTCTCATGTAACAAAGTGAGCAGAAAGTCCTCTAAATCCACCTCCAATGAAATGATTGGGTCTGGATAACCTTGCTAAAAGATGCCTCCATGCAATCACAAACAATAGCAAAGGGAAATCCAACTGCAAGGAATATTTTTGGAAAATGCTACATTCAAAGCCCGACTTTGCTTTTGTTGTGCTTTAGTGTCTGTATCCTTTACAGTTCTTCATCAGCCTGATAAGTGTTGAGTTGGTTATGTAACTGATATTGTTTGGCATAACATGACTCATCTAGGCATCCAAATAGTTCAGACAAGGCTTTGTTATATTGTGTTGACTCTTCCCAATGCCCTTTACTGCGTCATTTATCCAACCAAATCCTTATTGGATTTCCATTGCACTACTAATACTTAAAAGGAAGTCCAGTCTTTAAACGTACGTTCACAAACTCCAACCATGGTATTTTGTTGTCTTGCAAGTAGGGCATTCAAGCACCCACCATGTCAAGTCAGCTAGTCATTCAACAAATCTCGTCCAGTTTGATCACTGGATTAGAATATGCCCCTCCACTTCCGGTAGTAAGAGAGGTAGCCGATAGTTGGAACAACTGGAACCTTAGGTTGCACTTGGGCTGGCGTATAGTTCTTTTCTTTGGTCTATGGTTTTGCAATTCTCACTAAAGGTTACTAAAGCCAAATATTGATTCAGACCCATCAAAGTCAATTTATTCCATAGGCAGCACCGGTGGATAATTGCAAAATGACATTTGCCCATTTACAGACAGGAAGCTTGCACAGCTTACTTACTAAGGGAACTTAGAGGCTTCGGGTTGCTAAACAGTTAAATCAATCCAGATTCAAGCATAGAAAGAGACCTTCAACTTCAAGCTTAGCTATAGTTTTTTGTGATGCAGAAATTGGGACTCAAATGTGGATGCATAGTGAAATTATCAGTCTCTTAGTGGTGTTATAAGCTTGGTTTTCTTCAATTTTTTGTTTATTTGGAGCTATAGACAAATGCATTGACCTAGTTTATTGGAAATTTAATTCACACGGAATGAATTGCACAATCATAAGTTGCAAGTTGCAACCTTAAATATAATTCCTTGTCTGATATGATTATTAATTTATTATAATTTTTTTGGTAAATTATGTTTAGTTAACAAGTGATTAGGGCTATGCAAAATAATCCTATCTGTTAAAACCATCCAATCGGCACCGATTCGCTCTATCAATCTGCTAACCGCGGATTAAATTTTGAAATTTATAATCTGCTCTCGAAATCACTACGCTATAATTAATACATATATATTTTTAACCTCTAATGAAATATTAAAGTAAAAGTGTAAGAGAGATTTAAGATGTGAAATTTGTTGCAAATTAGTAGTTATATATGAAAAATGTCATGTAAAATTAGTTTGTATTATATATATAAAAAAATATTATGCAAATTAGTGTTTTATATTATGCAAATGCTTGATAATTGTTTATGAATACTCTTCCATTAACTAGTAAATTGAAACCATCCCAAATTGCCCAAACCGCAGTTTGGTTATTTTTCAATCCGCCATTCATAGTTTGGTTTATAATTTTACTTTCAAACTGTTCGAACCGCATCACGCACATCCCTACATGTGATATCATAAGTAACTAGAATCAGCTTTGACTATCTGAACTTATAATAGGGAAGTGGCCAATATCTTGATTGTTTATGTTGTATGTTTTCTCTTGATTATTTGTTTGAACCTCTTCCAATCTTGGGAGTTATCTTGATTATTGGTTTGAAATTTCTTTCACTAATATCGTTGGTTGATTTTGCAGCAATTGCCCGCACAGTGGGGCACTTGTCCAAGAGTGCTGATGTCATGAAGCTTGTCAACAACCTCATGAAGGCCCCAGAAGTTGCTATCACAATGCAGGAATTCAGCAAGGAAATGCTAAAGGTATTGCTTTTAGTGTTTTTCAAAAACCAAAGATATCAAAGATTCGTCAATTGTGAGGATGGAATTTTTTATTGCATTGCGTCTTATTGAAGTAAGGATGAATTTTTATTTATTTATTTATTGCATTGCATCTTTTTGAAATGCACACTTGTTGTTCTTTTAAATGTGCATTTTCCACAATCAAAATCTTTCCTGTGTTCTGTTTGGTTATATTTCTTCAGTTAAATTTTGAAAGTTTGATTGTTTTATTTGAGGTTAATTATTAAACTCGCATCTGCCTTTATTTCTATTTCTTAGAAATTTGATATTACCAACAATTGAAAAAAAAATAAAAATTTTGAAGAAATTTAATATTACCACTTAAAATCTCTTCTACTACAAGCATTTCTGTAGTGGAACAATCATGAATTACAGGAATTCTAGAAAATTACTTCGTCGTGTTGAACTTCTACAACCATTACATATTTCAATTATGTGAAACCAAAATAATTTGCGAACATATTATAGAAATCTAGCAGTTCTCTTGTACTTTGGACTACCATTTTACATTTATTAATTCAAACTCGAAGATGGGAGAGATGGAATATGAGTATGACAGCTTGATGAACATTGGTCCTGTTTGGTGTAGCTGTTAGAACAGATTATAGATTATAGTTTAACAGATTATAGATTATGACTTTAATCAGAAGCTATTCATCTGTTTGGTGTACCTGTTGGATTATAGATTTAAGTTGCTGAGTAGTGTTTGTTAAATAAGCTGTGAAGTAACTTTTTCAATTAACTTTTTTTATATTTATTATTTACTATTTGTCTACATTTCTCATAAATAATAATAATAATATTCTATAGTCCATTTGGGTCTTTTTTTATTTTTAAAAAAATAAAAAATAAAAAATCTAAGAGTATAGCCGTGAATTAACATATCCACAGCAGAAGCTGATAATCAGAAGTAAGATGTGAGCAGCTTCTCAGAATTAATTTTTTTAACTTAAAATAAGTTGTTAGAATTAGAAGCTGTTTAAAATAAGTTTAACTAAACAGTCCAAAATAACTTTTTAAAAGCTAGAAGCCATAAGTTGGCTCAAAAAAGCCCCACCAAACACCCCCATTGTTTGGCCCATTTATTGGGGGTGTTTGGTAGGGTTTTTTTGAGCCAACTTGTAGCTTCTGGCTTTTAAAAAGTTATTTTGGACTGTTTGGTTAAACTTAATTTAAACAGTTTCTGATTATAACAACTTATTTTAAGTCAAAAAAGCTGATTCTGAGAAGCTGCTCACCCTTTGCTTCTGATTATCAGCTTCTGCTGTGGAGATGTTAATTCACGGTTATACTCTTAAATTTTTTTATTTTTTATTTTTTTAAAAATAGAAAAAGACCCAAATGGACTATAAAATATTATTATTATTTTTTATGAGAAATGTAGACAAATAGTGAATAATAAAAAATAAAAATTAATTGAAAAAGTTACTTCACAGCTTATTTAACAAACATTACTCAGCAACTTAAATCTATAATCCAACAGTTATACCAAACAGATTAACAGCTTCTGATTAAAGTAATAATCTATAATTTGTTAAGCTATAATGTATAATCTGTTTTAACAGCTACACCAAACAGCATCATTACCTTAAGCTTTGGGCACTGTCTGGCATGCTATTAGAGGTTCTGAGTACAGGTCTATATGTTTGTTTGTGTGGAGTACAGGTCTCGATATTTGCTTATGTTCCCCCATTCTATGTTTTGCAAGCTATTTTTTTTTTTGTCTATTTAACTCTCCATGTGCGAGGAGGGTTCACACATGAGGGAGGGTTTGTGAGGCAACAGAGTATATGAGAGCCTGACAAATATTATTCTTGCACATTCCCTAATATATTAAAGCTTTAGGAGCCTGTGTACAGATATTGAGTCCTTTGTGTTTTTGGTTGCATTTTAATGCATATTCTTATTAAATGACCTTATTTCTAGTTAATGTAGATAATGTCTTATAAAACACTTCCAACTTCGATGTGCACAGCTACTTGAAATTCATTGGCCTAATTCACACTAGAAATGCCATACTTTTTGTCATTCTATCTAATCCTCTTGGTGTTGACTTCAATTTAATAGAAAAATTCATGGATTGCGAAGGCTAAGGAAATGGAGTATCATTTCTTCTGCACATCATTGTTGGCTTTTTTATTGTTTTTAAGGTTTTAAAACGTATCGTTGTTAGTTAATTCTGTATAAATGTTGGTTTGAAATAATGTCATCTATATATAGAATTAAACCCAGATGGTAATGAGTCTCAATATTAACTTCCAAGTATACAAAATAATCTGAGTCACGTGCATATATATATATATATAGGCAGGGATAATTGAGGAGACTGTAAATGATGCTATTGACTCAGCACTGGATACGGAGGATATGGAAGAGGAGATTGATGAAGAAGTTGACAAAGTCTTGACTACACTTGCTGGTGAGACTGCTGCTGAACTTCCGGAAGCAGTCAGGAAGGAGAAATTAAAGGAACCCGCAGGAGCTGTGCCGGAGGTATAGGCAACAATTCTATCATCTGATGCATTTTCCATTTTAGCCTATCATTTACTCTGAAAGAAGCTGAATTTCCTTTGATTTTTGTAGGATGAAGCAACAGGCGAGGGTGCTGACGATGAGGAAGAACTTGAAGAAATTAGGGCCCGGCTTGCCAGAGTTAGATCATAGTTTGATCATTTTATGCTTACCTCTAATACGTGGCATTTAATGGAAAGGTCATCAAATTGGTTTCCGGATTGCAGCAGGTAAAACCTAGTTTACCTTTTGAGAAAGAGATGGGAAGAAAATGTCTATATTATAATTCATATCAAAATCCACTTCATTTGAAACACATGTTTGGTCATTACTTGTGCAATAGTTAATTATCTATACGTGCATTATCTTGGCTTTGAAGGTTTCATTTTCTCTCCGATGAAGCATGAACCCGATGTTTCATAGATTACGTACTATGGTTTCTTTCAGATTCAGAGATTAATCCAAGGCCATGTTTGTTTGGGTGGACATGAGATTGGGATTAGATTAATAGTCCAATAAAATTATTAATCCGATGTTTGGTTAAACAATTGAAGTACGGACTAATTATTTTAAACTTGACTATTAGTTAAAATAGGATACATAATCCAACGGATTCGTAGTCCTAGAACTATTAGTCAGAGAATGCTAATCTAATCCGCCCAAACAAACATGAGGTAAGTGTATATTCCTCATCACAACCTAGTCCACTTATTCGGTTGTCTTGCTTGTGTACTGGTAAGGTGTTGGATAATTTAAATTTGTTCAAGCTTGAGCTAAAATTTATGAACCCAAATTAAAATTTGGTTAAGATCTGGGTTTTCACAACCCAAACTTTCAAATTTTATTGTTAATAATTATATAATAAACAAGAAGTACACATAAATTACTGATTATGTTCTCATAATTGGTTTAAATCATATTTCCATGTAATCAATTCTATTGCTTAATACCCATCTCAAATAAACTTTCTTATTATATTCCATGTTTCGTTTGGGGCTAACTTATTTTAGTTAAAAAATTAAAAAATCATTATAAGTTATCACATTACTCTCTTTATTTATCTACATATCTTTTCATAAAAAGTTAAAAGTTATTAAAATAGTCTAAACTCTAATGAGGCCGTCAATCTATTAATTAATTTAGTACAACTCGATATAACTAAAGATAAATTTTCACATTGAATTCAACACCTCAAAGTCCAGTCTGAATTATTTCAAATAAAATCAAACTTGGGATATTTGTGGTGTATTTTGAAAAATAATAAAAACAAAAAAGGAGAATCAAACAAATACAAATATAGACATGGTAACAGAAATATGGAATAGGACAATAACCTGTGATATGAGGCAAGTACCTTGGAAAATCCAACCTAGGTTAATGAAATCATGAATACTCCAAAAGAATATCTAAAAACATAATTCAATTGCCACTTTCTGAAAAGACTCAAAAAAAAGTATTTTTTGTGCACGTTTCGTGGCCTACTTTATGCCTAATTTCTCAATTTTCATTGTTACTTATATATAATATAGCATACGTTAGAAAACGGATTTGGGTCACTGTTGTGCTTACTGCACATCTGTGATTGTTGTGTAGTTTGTTGGACTCCTTTCGGATGTTATTTTAATGATGTGAATCGTTTAAATTTTAAATAATATCGAAATAAATATACTTATAAAAATGAAGTTAATCGGATATTGACAATATTTTTATCGAATTACATTTGTATTCTGTTTGATATATACATATTTATTTTTTATATATACACAGATGTGCTTTGATGAAGGAGTTATTGATATTCGATTGACTTGATTTTTTATAAGTATATTTTTCTTGATATTTTTTAAAATTTGAACAATTCAGATCATCAAAATAATATTTGAAATGAGTCTCACTAACTATACAACAGTCACCACTATGCTGTGCTGTGTTTGATGCATAACAGTGCCGCCATGTTCAAAAAACACTATAACAATGATGTGATAATGTTAATTCTCTAAATACAAGTCATATTCATATGAGTGTTTTATTTCAAAAAAAATTTGAAATGAGATTTTTGTGCATACCATGGCTGCCCATACGCATAGAGATTTCTTTGAAATGAGATTCATGTTTCTCAAGCCTCTTACGTCACCAGAGATCACAACAAAGAAATGAAAATCAATTGCCCTGTTGTGATCTCTGGATAATATAAGAGAATTGAGTCTATTTTTGAGAAATTGAAATTAAAATTAAAATTAAATTTTTTAGTATTTTTTTTGTTTGTAGTGATTTTTTAAAATGTTTTACGCAAATTTTAATTTTTTAGATACACTTAATCTAAATATACTTAAAAAGTATAATATTTATGAAAAAAATATAAAAAAATTCACCAAATACAAAAACAAAAATATAAATAAAAATAAAAAATAAACAAAAATTCAAAACATTTCAATGAATATTTTAAAATTTTTGTATAAATTTCTTATTTTTTAAGTATATTAAGAATAATAGATCTAATTTTTTTTTTAAAAAAAATTGATAAAAATATTTTAAAAAATTATTAAAAATACAAATTAAAAATTTATAAAATTATTTTTAAAAACTCAAAACCAAACAAGGTGAGTACTAACTTGGCATTTTTTTTTTTTTTTTTTCTGACAGAAAATATTTTCTATTATGATTCCTACTTCTCCGCTGTTCCAATGAAATCAGAAAGAGAAATTAATTAAAAGTAAGTGGACCTAGAATTGAATCATGACTATATAACCTATCTCTAGTAGACAACATACTAGGGTTCAATTGTAAGAGTTCCACCGACAATGTTGTTGTTCTCACCATTCTTTTTATTACAAAAAGATTCAGACTTTTATTTCAAATAATCGACAATAAAACAATATGAGTTGGCTCATGACTTTAGCGATTTAAACTCTTACATATCTTTTATTTTCTCACGTACTTGCCTTTAAATAAAGAGAGAGTAACAAGAACAATAATTTTTTTTTTATAAAATTTATTAATTTATATAGTAATAAAATGAAAAGTTTCAATTCTCGAAAACATCAAATGACAACCCTACCATGACTCATTGTAATACACTATTTTTTTAAGACTTTACTTAAAAGCAAGTCTAAGTATTAAAAAAAGTAATTAATTTTTTTTAAAAAAAATTAGTAATTGGTGTAAATTTTTATTACTTAAAAGAAGCACTTGGGGTGGAAGCTATAGACAAGAGGTCAATGCGTAAGCAGAAATAAAAGCGACAAAAAAAGCAAAAAAGCAAAAAAGCAGAAACATGTTTTGCGTAACAAAATTCCGACAGTGACGACCTCTTTGCTGAATCCTGACCGTCTGATGCATTCTTTTTTCTCTCTAACCACCCTCTGAAATTCTTCATAACGTATCAATAATATCTGGACGGTTGAGATCTTTTTTGCTAATAATCAAAATTTTTGAGGTGGATCGAGAATTCAAACGTGGCTGGTTGCCTGTGATAACTCATTTTTTTATTAATTAATTTATTTTATATTGTTTATGGGTAAATTACATTTTGTATTTTTGAAGTTTATTTTAAAATTTTTGGTCAAGTTGAAATGACGTTTTCTAACAAAAATTATTATGTGATGTGACCCTCACACAAGATATTTTTAAGGTAAAATTATAAACATTTTAAATATTTTTTTTATTTATTTTATATTTTTTCACAATATTTTTTTTTATTGTATTTTTTAAATGTACCAACACCTGGTATGTTTAGAAAACAAAATTAAAAGAAAAATATATAAGAAATAAAAAATATATTACATTTCTACCTTAAAAAATGCCGTCAGTCATATGACAATTTACGTTAGACAATCTAATACCAAATTAACGAAAAGGTCATTGTAACTTGATCGGAAATGTAAAAGAATAACTGTTACAATTAAAAATTAAGGAATTAAAATGAGATTTGGTGGTGTTTTGAAAAGTTAATAAAAAGGTAATTTTTTAACTTTTTAACTTTTTTAATAGTTTTTTTGGCAAAAAATTGGATTGTTTTGGGTAAAAAAAACTAATTTTTTTGACTAAAAAAAGCTAAAAAGCCAAAAAGTTGGCTTTTTCGGCAACTTTCCAAAAGAACAGGGTACAAACTATAATTTACTTTATTGTTAGGGAGATTTAGTAGAATATCATTTTTCAAGTATTTGTATCACAATAAGTCTTATTATTTGAACATTTGATCTATCAAATCTTAATTATCATATTTAAGATATTTTATGGACATTTCTATCCTTACAAATATTTTTTGAACGGTTAGTAATTTAGATCATAGAACATTCACACTGTAAATATGAATATTATTAGGAATATTTTGATAATTATATCATTTATAAGAGTTATAATGTGGATTAAATAGAATATAAATAAGTAAAAAATGATTTATGAAAAAATGCTTCTTATTTTTACTAAAAAATAGTTACATATCCTTTATTATTAGAGGGAATTGCATTTCAATACAAAAATCAAAAGGCAAAGAGAGGTACAAAAAAGTGGATTTTGTGTCGTGGAGTAAGTCAGGCCGAAACTTTCATAATTCGTGTTTTATATGGTATCTAAATTAAATTTAACGGATTTAGAAGGGACATATATATTTTTTCAAATTTAACGGTAATTAATGGAAGTTTCTATAATTCACTTCTTTGAAGGGTAATAAATTTAATTTAATTTAAAAATTCAAATATTTAATGTATAAAAATTTAATGTTAGTTAATGCAAACTTTCCCAATTCATTCTTGTAACTAATTTCAATTTAGTTTAAAATATCAAATATGCAGTGTAAAGTTATACAAAACTTTATCCAAATCAAATAACATTATACATAATTTTTAATGATATAAAAATTTCAAAAAAATTAAGAAAAATGAATGAGGAGTTTCAAACGCAAAGGTTTAACAATGTTTTTGTTGACTGCAAATGTTTGACAATGTTTGGTACTTTACTTCTTTATATGGTAATTAAATTAAATTTATTTAAAAAGTCAAATATTCAATGTAAAGGTATAAAAAAATTTAAATTCATTTCTTCATATGGTAACTAAATTTAATTTAAGGTGGACAAATATATTCAATGTAATGTTACACAAAATTTTATGGAGAAATTACCAGTAAATCCCAAATTAGGGAATGATGATCCATTTAATCCTGTGTTTTTTCTTATAAACCGTTGGGTCCTATTTAATTGATAAAGAATATTTTCTTTTGATTTGGCATGGGTGGAGTTTACACATTTACCCTTTTTATGATTTTGGTAGATTCTTTTTTGCTCATTTGTGTGCAATGATTGAGATGGTAACATTTTACATTTCCATTTTTGTATGTTTATTTTTGTAGAGTGATATACGGTGGATGTGTTTCAATTG